CCTCGGCTCACCTTTTCACCCCCGAGGTCGAGGGTCCTTCCCGAGGGACCTCCAGAGGATCCCGAGGACTCTCGACTGGCTTTCGCCGCGTCTTTTCCTACGCGGGTTTCTCGTTATTGTCGCCTCAGGTTGCGGCTCGTTAAACGGGACGTCACTTCGCGAAGTTACTTCGCAAGTGCATGAAAGGGTTACTCGAAGTCGACTTGCGGTCCAAGTGCGAGAGCCACGTACACGACCGACGACAAAGAATCGTTTCGACAATGAAAACGAGCGAAATAGAAAATTTTCCGATATATCGCAATCATACGTACATACAATACCTATTAATCCAAATTATCCAAACAATGCCCTGTTACCCATAAATATATATTTTTTAAGTACCCCTTGATTTCACCAGCGTACTAATGTACGCCTTATCGTTGCTGTAACCAAGGAGTTCCTTAATAAATTTTTAATTAATCCTTGCTCACGTCAGAAGGTTAATGTTTATCAAGTTTATGTTATATCATGTTCTGCGTGACAAAAAAAAAATTGGCCGGGTTAACACTGGAATCCTGCGTAATCGGGTAATCTGGCGTATCGTTATCAGCGTTGCAAACGCGTCGGTAAAACTTGGGACTGACTTGACGGAATATCCGACCGGCTTTCACGTCTGATATTCGCCTACTCCGGGGTCGAGTTCAGACTTGCGAGTTCGTTATATCGCCGCGTGATAACCGCTTTTATGGCCGACACGGATTCTCACTTGGATGCAAGACTTTTCTCTCTGAAAAAGTCCAGCCTTCTCGCTTAGACGTTGCCTCGTCGAGGCCTGTCTCATTAATAAGTGTCATAGAGCCGTTTGTACGGCTCGTTAAAGACTCGTTGAGTTTTCAAATGGTTACATTGAAATTAATACTCGAAGCTGGGATGAAAATTGTTTTAAACGCGCGTCGATTACCATTTCCAGGCGTCGCGGGGAAAAATTTACGGCTCGATGGAACGTAAGGAGGATGTCTTAAATTCAGAAACGCCATTTTCCTCTAACTCGTTATCGAATTCACGTTCAAGATTCAATGGAGACCTTGCGAATGTTAAATGAAATAAATGGGGAAAAAGCCGTTCGAGATCCGATTTTCCTCCGACCACTGATAAGGTCCTATCTGGAAATGTCCGAAGGTGTCGACGTGTTAATTGTTCACGGTTTGACGATCTCACGCCACGCGTTACGCCATGGGATCGCCTAATGCCCTGCAACTATTATGAACTATACTCGAACGCCGGCGAGCATGACGCGTGACCGATTGATGACACACCCAATTGATAGTGCATAAAAAATCCCCGCGTAAAGGAAAATCGGTCCGTAAAGGCGTTCCGGGGATTCAAGTGATCCGCCGAGCCGGCTAATAACGTCGTAAAATTAATATCGTTAATCGGGACACCTTCCGCTACTATACCATACCACGCGCACGTAAGTATTACATGGTGCACATTTGACGCAAGTCCTCCACCTTCTACAGGAACTGAAAATGGAATATTATTCAAGCAACACACTAATCGACGTAATACACCAAAACGTATCCCAGAACATGTGTAGAACTATATTTCGCTAAACGTTCAAAACGGTTTAAGGTGGAACTTTGTGCGGGAACTTTTTGCCGACTTGTAAGGTAAGAATGGAAGATGTCTAGGATTTTTTACTCGGGACATCACGGTGCATAGAAACTAGCCTCGTTTGATCGTTCACCGGGCATCATAGGGACCGACGAAATGTACGGTTTTTCTGGAAAACCGAGTGCGGGAAGAGGGACGGGAACGCTTGCGCGCGGAGGTCGTTTACGAGGCTCCGTAATCGTTCATCCTCGCGAGTCGTGACACGGGCCTCGCGGAGGAACGCGACGATCTTAAAAACGCCGAGTCGTTAGAATTCCTACCGGGAGACCCGGATGGAACGTGACGAGAAACTTTCATAGGAAGTAGCATCGGAATATTTGCGCGGTCCCGCACGGCGGCCGGGAATGATCCGAAGAGCCCGACTTGCCTCAAGTAGGGATCACTCGGTAGAAAACCCCGCAAAACTTGAAGAACCAACACCAAACTCGATTCCACCCAGCGGATGAATTTCTCGAAAAATGTCACCGAGGAACATTAGGAAGCAAGGGCGCGATACTTGAAAGTACTCGACATAAGACAAAAAGTTACAAAGAAAATCACGAATGAAGTAAAAAAAAAAAAAAAATAGGTTCCAACCTCGAGGGCTGTTACCGGTAACTGAAACAGAGTGTTAAGAAGAGAGATAGTATCACTAGGCACTTTATAAATAGTGACTCGACTGGGTGGTACACATTTGGGAGGAGTATCATATTGTGGATATAACGTCTTTTGGGGTTTTTAATTTGATAGGAAAGGCCTAGTTTGGTCGTAACAGAGTGGTTTCGTGCTCGCGTATGAAAGCTCGCCGAGCGTTCGAAAGACCGGCAGCTCTCGGCTCTCAACCGGACGCACTTAATTCCCCTGCATCGCTCAGCTCCGGATTGCGCAATCGCGCGGAATCTCGATCCTTTTATTGGCTTAGATCGTCATATTTTATTGTTCGTCTTGTTTCCAGAAGTGGGTTCAAGCAGACGATGGGAGTCAGGCTCCTTCCGGAGTGCTTCCAGAACTTCTCCGTAAAAAGTTCCACGAGGACGCATATCACGACGCGTCCCTCGTGACTCTTATAGAAAGATGTTTTTTTTTTTTTAACGTATTGTCTACACACCTGAAGTGCGATAAAGAGCTCAACTCTACCCACACTTAGTTCTAATCTAATTGTTCCAGCTCCCTTTTTTCATACCAAGCGACAGGCAGTTGTACATGAAAATGAATGTCCCGAAGAATATTCATAACATGTATTAAGCGACGAGGAGTAATATTTTTGCCCGGAATATGTAGACAGTCGAGGGTTGACACTTTTTAGCTTTTGAATAATCGCTTCCTAGACCGTTTAGAAATAAGACCGAGCGCGATAATTGCATCGCCACAAATGCGTTTAACGTGGCTTCTTTCGGAATACGTTAAAGTAATTAGCATCGAACGGTCTGTTCATCCGGTTCGCTTGAATCTCCTAATAATATCATATCTCGGGCAGAGGTGCCAATTAACATCCTACGGCCGCAGGTGATCAGTCACTTCCGCGAGAAGAACCAATGAGATACTCCGCTCGGTGATAAATGGCCAATCAGTTGCCTCCCGCGGACGTTAATTGCTAACTTTATTCCCGAACACCGGCGATGCACCTCTAATTACTTGAGCCAATAAAATGAAGTTTCCCTCGCTGGAGGAGAGCGACCAGCGAAGAGGATCTTATCACTCCCTGCTCTAATCACGATGGGCAAGAAACCTGAAAATCTCCCAGGAATGATTTAGTTTCCCTCTGAGCAACCAAAATAATAAAAAGGACGACAGCGATATCGATTTATCGAACAAAAATCCTTGAGGCTGAACGCGGCCATACAAATGTCTGCCGTATAGAGTAATAATGTCGAAAAGTACGGAACGAATTTCCATGTATGGAGCTACCTAGGAGCATGATGCTTATTTTTCACCCAAGTATCGCCTAACGGAAGGTCCACTTTCAACCAGGTGCCACGTGGCTCTCTCGAAGATTGTCATTCTCGGGTTACAAAATACACGTAGCCGTCATTATGTAAAAAAAAGTGCTTTCAAGTCGGATTTCCAGGCGCAAGGGATCGATCGGAATACGGATACGAGACCAACGCGATGCAATAACCCATCTGAAATCATCCCCGCAACCAGGTATCAATTAGAGGGAACAACCAGCATCCTCTTCGGGGCTCGGGTCGTACCTTGCTGGCATTATGCGGAGAGGAACTCTCAGGGCGAATTTCCACGAGCGAGTGCGCACTTAGGGCAGAACGTGGACACAAAAGTAACACGGCGGGTCGCCCGAGTTAGTTTTAACGATCCGCCATAGAACAAATTGTCGAGATGCTATCCGGCTCGATGTCGGGGGACGATAACCCGGATTGTCCCCGCAGGGCCACGGGGTGGAAAGAGCGAGAGGGAGAAAGAGAAGGCTCGCCGCTACGATCTTTCAGAACCGTACGTTGAGGATTCTCAACAGTAAATTACAAAATATGCTAAGCGGCCGATATAAATCAAAAGTGGGGACGGGAACTGAGGGTAAGGGTACGTATAAGTGTACCCACTGTCGGCGAGGGGGTTGGCGGTCCCGAGAGAGGGATAGAACCGAGGAGGGGCCCATTGGGTGCGCGAGGATGCTCTCACGAGGCCCGAGACCATGGAGCCCCGAAATTGGGCCTGACAGCCACGGTGAGACCGCCGTGAGTTTGTAAACCGGGCAAATGGCGCGGAAGGATGTGTCGCAAACATATAAATATCGTATCTACCGGCGGACTTCCCTCTTGTCTTTCTGGAGCGGCGCGACTCACCTCTTGCGCGTCTCTACCGTGACTAACGAAGTCGAGCGCGTATCCTACCGTGCAACATCTCGAATTATTAACCGCATCCACGATACTTTTTCAAAACAGCGATTTGACAGTCTGGTTTCAAACCACGGGCCGAATATCCCAGAAAATTCCAGCCTAAATTTCCGTTCTCATTTTTGAAGCCAAAATAAGAACCGCGCTTAACTTCCGCATTTCCACTTCGGCTTAAGAGGATGTGAAAGTGACGTCAAAGAAGTCTCGTATATGAAACATTTCTCCGAATTGGGTGTACCGAATCATTTCGAACATTACAATGTGAACATGGAGGCTGCAAAGAAGGTCCCGATACTCATGAAATTTCAAAGCTAAGAAAATTTGTTCATACTTTCAAGAATTTTTGGGTCTCCATATTAACGTTGTAAAGTTTGAAGTAATTCGGTGCACCAGTTCGGAGGAAAGTTTCATGACCGATTGACTGTTCGGATGCCACTTTCGCATCCCCTTGATGTGACCTAAACTCGTTCGGTTCGAGCCCGATTAGTTGTCTATAAATGAGGATATGCAACTCACGTGGTCCATAGCTCGTGCGTGGGGGGTAGCTTGACGTCGGCCGCCTTCTCCGGGAGCTTGTAGTACTCGTAGACGTAGGAGGCGGCCGGGTCGTCACCGTGGCCGGAGACTCCGGAGACCTGGTGCTGCTGCTGCAGGTTCAGCATGGCCGCGGTCGCCACCGACAGGGGATGCTCGCAGTACGCTCTCCAGTCGCCCTCCATGCCCTGCACCTGCACCTGCACGGCGGCAACCCGCTTGTGCACCTCCGGGTCGGCGGCCTCGCCCTGGACCGCCGCGTTCTGCAGCGACTGCGCCTCCTCAGCCCCCAGCTCCTCTTCGTCCTCGGGCTCTCTCGCCCCCGCCACTGCCCCGTACCCGGCTTGTCCCTCCTCGCCCACCCCTCCCGTGTCCTCCTCCACGCGATTTCGTCTCCTGCAACGAGATTTTCATTATTTAGACCAATTTTATTGGTAGATAAGATTAAGAGGTCATTGTATCAATTTTGTCAATGTGACTAGAATAAAACAGGACGAATAAGGGATGATTTCTTCTTTCTCCCTTGCTGTCGGAAAGCATGTGACCATATTGCGTTATGGTTCCGTACATTCTACGTAAGCTACAAATTAATAAATATAGGCTTCAGTAGAATCGCAGGAGGAGAAAAGGATATTTTTTTTTATTCAGGGTGGTTTACTAAGTATTCAGGATTTTATCTATTAACACGAGACTGAGGACTATGATCGCGGTTGTTCAAAAAACCCAATGGAAATTATAATTTATGATTAAGCGCATTGATAACGTCAGTAGTTATCGCGTTTTTTCCCTTCTTCCCTGTTTCTTGCGTCGGTCCTAGGTAAAATGAGACTCTAAGGTTGAGCCATTTGGAAAATTAATATTTCCGCTCCTCGACGTTACTCGATTTAATCAATCACTGTCGATGTATGATTTTCCAATCGGCAATTAGTTGAAAACAAGGTCAATTGGGTAGCGGTATTTTTCATTGGCCAGAATAACTTGTTACATGTGTTCAGTGCACACGTTAGGGATCGTCAACGTGTTGTCGACTAAATGAACATTTAAAAAAAGGATGTGGAAAAAAAGTGGAGGAAAGATAACGCTCGCCAGAAGGCGATGTAATGTGCAGCCGCGGACACGGAAAACTACTTCCATGGCGACAGGAATTCTGTAACCGCAATAAATGAAGTTAATCGGATAAAATGGAAGTTTGGTTCGGTCGTGGAAGCATGAATTTCTCCGCTCGAGCACGATTTTATAAACGAGGCTATGGCGTGTCAGGATGCCCTTAAACTCGCCGCGGTGATTCGATTTTTTATTCCCATAACTGCACCTCACATTATTCACAATTCGAGGGAAGGATCGCAATGGCGCCTGTAAATTAAAGCGATCTCGAATTCAAATGAGATATATAAGGCTCCTCTCGTGTTTGAGGCTACTTTCCTTGTGACATTTTTTACCACTTCCGCTTACGGCTTTATTTACTCCTTCGCGTACACGAGCAATTGCTAGGATATATTTAGGTACATGCATGCGTATAAATCCCTGCAAGTGTTTTATATTTCTGCTCGCTCTTCAACCGAATATCATTTCTTTCATATTCGAAATATTTTAAAGATATTCGAAGATGACTTGGGACCTTACGTCGCATTTCGCGGTTTAAAGAAAAAGAAAAAAATTATTTTGAATATAAAACCGCGACTTTTGCGCCGCCGTTCCTTCCTCTGCAAATCGTACGAACTTATCCTTATTTATGCCGCGATAAAATCCATTCGCTCAAAATCAGTCCTTTTTTGCCCAATGACTTCTTCACCGTACGGTACCACGGATATTGAGTTTCGTTGTCATATTACAAATTTCGTAAAATATTTTGAATCGCGGGACGCGACGTTTACGTCGGCGTTCCACCGCCCATGTGTCGAGCGCTCCTTCCCTTTATCATGTCGCAATAAACTCGACACTCCCGAAATAAATTTTCCCCGGGACGATGACTTCCTCGTCCCACGGGATCGGCTATATCGGGTCTCGTTACGTCGTATTACGCATTTCGTAAAATATTTCGCATCCGATCTCTCGGCATCCGCGCCATTTCTTCGCCCATATAGGGGGCACTCTCTCCTCTTTCTCGGCGCGATAAAACTGATTCCCCGGGAATGAGTCTCCGTCGCGATGATGATTTCCTTATCGTCCGACATCAGATTTCATTTGATTGCTTTTAAAAATTCATACAATATTTCACTCCCGTCGTTATTATTTCCTGCACTCCTCTGCTTTCGCACGTGGCGATAAACTGGTCCCTCTAGTAAATGGATCTGGAATAAATTCCACCATGCGACGATATTCCCATCGCCGAAGTTTCATTAAGCTCCATCACACGCTTCAGAAGAAAATGTAAAATCATTTATAAATCCTGAGACACGGAGAAAAAGAAAAAATTTGTCAAATGAAACGTGCAGATTTACCCACGTGGACGTGAAAGTGGCATCTCATGGGTCAATCGTTCATGAAACTTTTTCCTGAATTGGGTGGAGGAATATCTTTCAAACTTCACCGCTATAAACAGATTATTTTAAAATTGAAATTTCATGGGTTTCAGGACCTCCTTTATAATCTCCATATTCACATGTCAAGTTTGAGACGATTCGGTACACCCGGTTCGGAGGAAAGTTTCATAAACGATCCCTTTTTGATGCCACTTTCCGCGTCACCTTAAAATAAGTTCTTCCCTTATCTTCTTAAATCCGGGCCACATCCAGGCTGGCTTATCTTTGGGATGCAAAGGAAGTCGAGGATCGTACCTGGGAGAGTAAGTAGAAGGACTCCGTGCACCCGTACTACGCCGGGAGCAGATGCCGATGGCGCGGTTGCACGCACGCGGTGCACATACGGGCGAAGATTAATTATTATAGACCCCACCTTTTGCCTACAGTCATCAATTTATACTCTTCTCTCGCCCGGCGGCCTCCCTTCGCTCTCTCTCGCTCCCGGGCCGACGGCGATCCCGATTTCGATCTCGCTCTTCGGCGGAATAAAGGCTTATCCTCTAATTTATGCATGTCGAATCAATCTCCCTCTCCTTGCCCTACCCTGCACCTGGAGAACCGTTGCCTGACGAAAGCGAAGGACGGGCTTCTCCAGGAGCGGAAGCCCCGACGAGGGAGAGAGAGAAGGAAGACAAGGGAGGCTGGAAAGGAGTCTCGAAAGCGGGACGGAGAGACCCGAAGAAAGAGACAACCCACCCCGATAATGAGCGAGGAGTTATCCTGTGCAAATATTTTCCTCTCCTCTTGTTTGCATAGGTCCGATCCCGTATGCATTATCGCGACTCATACGATCTCTGCATACGAGATCTACCAATGCGCCCCTTCCCGCCTCCCCCGACCCCGGAAATTGCACCGCTCTCTTTAATCGTCTCTTATTCCCGCTCGCTCGAGTGCAGAGAAACATGCACCGCAAACATACCCTTCGCAGTATTTCCGCAAGGCACGCGAAAAGGTAACTGCGTGTGGTACCGATACAAATCAAGTGCACATAATGTCTCTTAACAGTCCCGAATAAAGTTCCTGGGAAAATGGCTCAATTTATGAAGTACCTTGGAAATCCCTTGGATGACAGATTTACTTCAACTTTCCTTTTGCGTTGAGCATAACTTTCCCACGGGATTTTTTTTATACTTAGTTTCTTTGGATTTCGTTAGATGTAACGAGTTTGCAGACATTAACATGCATGCCCGAGATTCTTGGTACTGTTTGAATATCATTTCGGAGCAATGGCGGCTCATTAACCTCATGGATACTTGTTCTCATTCTCTTCTTAAACTCAAGGTACTTGTTCGCGATTTGCTTGCGAGTATGAACTCCGTGCGTGGCCCACGTCGTCGGTTTCGTCCTCGCCTCTCCGCGCTGGTGAAAATCCATCCGAGAGAATGGCCAGATACATATGCAAATTCGGGGCAACCCCTATTTCTTCACCTGCGCATCCGGTTTTCGCGTGCTTCCCTCCAATTCGGCTGCTTTCGCACCGTTCTCCCGCCTCGAGGATCGCGCGACAGTGCCGCCACCGTGCGAGCTCGTGATTTCTCTCGCGATACTCGCGAGCGAGTCGCAGTCGTCGCGGAACTCTGCATATGCAAAACCGCTACGAAATCGGCGGCCTCTACTCGCGTGAAAGCGCCATGCCGAGGTAAAGGAGAAAAACGATTAAAGGCACTGTCAGTGTTACCGGATTTCGCGAAAAATCTCGATATCAGGCATTTAACGCTCTGGAGTACATAACGCGGCAAAACGCGCCGCTAATGAGCGCAGGCGGACTGCGGAAAATTGCGGGGAGTTGTCTGGGAATTTTTTTTTCGAGGCGATTTTTCCCTCACACTTGAAGGCGGGAATTTCCTCGTTCTTTTTATTCAGGATTTCATCTGTACTTTCGACACGTACGCATTTTGGGCATTTTTATTCAGGATTTCACCTGTACTTTCGACACGTACACATTTTGGGCATTTTGCAAAAATTGTCAGTGTTACCGGATTTCGCGAAAAATCCCGATATCAGGCATTTAACGCTCTGGAGTACATAACGCGGCAAAACGCGCCGCTAATGAGCGCAGGCGGACTGCGGAAAATTGCGGGGAGTTGTCTGGGAATTTTTTTTTCGAGGCGATTTTTCCCTCACACTTGAAGGCGGGATTTTCATCGTTCTTTTTATTCAGGATTTCACCTGTACGCATTTTTGGCATTTTGCAAAAATTGTCAGTGTTACCGGATTTCGCGAAAAATCCCGATATCAGGCATTTAACGCTCGGGAGTAGAAAACGCGGCAAAACGCGCCGCTAATGAGCGCAGACGGACTGCGGACAATTGCGGGGAGTTGTCTGGGAATGTCTTTTTCGAGGCGATTTTTCCTCACACCTGAAGGCGGGAATTTCCTCGTTCTTTTTATTTAGGATTTCACCTGTTCTTTCGACACGTACGCATTTTGGGCATTTTGCAAAAATTAACAGGCTGTACTACTAATGAAAGTTTGAATTCCTTTCGTCGGATAATATATATATTTTTTTTCAATGTGCAGCTTATTAAGTGAAAGATCATAGGGCGATGCGAGGCTGCAAAATTGCATTACCTTACGGTGGCTCATTACCGAGCTGCGCTTTCATTAAGAGATGTTCATATGGCTCGGTTTTTAGGACATGCCGCTCGAGAAGTGGCATTCCGAATCTAGACCCCGACATTGCAACGGGGGCATTCATAGAATGCACTTCGCAGTATGCATCGAAGAAACGGCACGCGGCGGCGATCGAACGATCG